CAGCGCATCAAACTGAAACGGTTAGAGAAAGCTTACAATAAAATATTGTAATTGAGGGTTGCCACCTACTGAACATTTTAAAAAAGGAAAGGATATGAAAAAAATATTTCAGGGTAGTGCATCAAACTTAAACGATTACAATAAGCTAATTATAAAATAATTTTTTAAGATGTTACCATCTACATATTAAACTTTTTTGAAAAATGAAAGAATATGAAAAATATTGCAATACAGCGCATTAAACTGTAACAGTTACAGAAAGCTTACAATAATATTTTTTAAATGAAGTTTTGCCACCTATTAACAATTTATAATCTTAAAGAATATCATATAATTAATTCGGTTAAATTATGTTAATTGACTTAAATAGATTCTTATTAGCAAAGGTTTCAAAGTTTTGAAAAAATATGGCCATTGCAGGTATAATTAAGCAGTGAATACTGTACTTTCAAGGAAATTTGTAAACGCCATTATTTTGTTTAGTTTGCTCCTGTGGCAATACCAACACACCGACACTGCACTACAATGCACAAACACATATAAAAATTTGCGACTCCACACTTACACAGCTTAGCGGTAGCTCGGGTCAATTGCATTTCATTATGCGTCCATTACAGCAGCACTTCAATAAATTGTCGTTAAGCGAATGAAACCAACTACAAAAAAAACAGCAAAAACAAATATAAAAAATCACATTCAAAATCATTAAAATTTAGCGACAAAAATGGCTGCCGGCGAATTTAGCGGAAATTCTATTTAAATGCAAAAATTTGCATAGAGCAAATGACGTCCAAACGAGAGGCTGCGAGCGTGAGAGGGGCACGTAATTTGGGTCGAGGGTAGCACACAGCATTAGCAGTCGTGGGGTGTATGAAAGCATTAAAAGAGTGCACAAATCAAAAATTGGTGTTGAGAAATTCGCCGTGGGCGCAGTTGGCAATGCTGGTCTGTGCGCTTGAGTAGCGTTCAAGGACAAGCGCCTCAAACGTCGTCGGTACGAGTGTGAAATGAACTTGCTGCCGTCGGCGCATTGCTCACATAACTGTCAGCACTTTAAATACTTCTAAATACTTTCAATGTGCGCGCATAACGGTGAATTTCAATTATATTTCCAGTGGCAATTTTAATTATGTATGTATTATTAAATATTTGCGTGGGTTGGATTATGGTTGTTGGGTGCTAGTGCGGGGTTTCTTCGCAATTTTAGGTATTTGCCAASGAACCTTTTKAAAAAAATKTCAATATTTTCGACAACCAWCTTTGAAATTGTATGTACAATCTCCGAGACAAGTAGTCTAGTTCTCAGTCGTACGAAAGTCTTTTATTTCGGTTTGGTTTGGACAAACTTGATATATCATGTTCGTTTTGGTACTTGATATATCATGCTCGTTTATCACAACGGAATCGCTAGCAATTGCAAAGCTRATGACCTAACCAGAGCGAACACCCTTGACCCGTAGACATCGGGGTGGAACCGAATTGGATGTCCATTGGTGTCTTGCGTTCTAGCACTGGACCAATGAACCTCGAAGATTTAATGCTATACGACTGCGAGAAATTTCTGGCCTAGGTGGAACGCAGGAGATCTGCGGAACCACTTGCCCTCAGCAAAGTTCATTTTGCCGCAACCGTAGGTGCTCTAACTGGACACTTTCCAATAGGCATTCATGTTCCATGAAGATTTAGTTTATCATTTTCCAGACTTCGTAAATCTAGCTAGTGGCGATCAGCTCGAATTTGTAGACTCACTCTCAAAGATTGTATGAAATCAGTTTCTATTGCACTTTTCAGAGAAATAATTACATACCTGTAGAGGATTGGGTGCATTAGGGATCTGAGTGCAATGGTGATTAGCTAAACTGTTGGACGTTTAGATGYTAGCGTTGTGAATTAGCTTCTTGTGTTAATGGTGTGTGCGTATGGGGTCCAGCCTCTAGTCACCAGTCCAGAGCAATATGGAAGCTCAACTGGTAGTAGGTTCGGCTACGAGGTCTGACCGGAGACTTAATACTGGTACCACGAGGAGGAGTGCTCATGTGGACTGGCCCCTGGGGGAATATCATGGTGGTTATGGTTAATGCCCAAATGCGGATAGACGACTTGTCAGTTCAATTTGGAGTTGCATTGCAACTGGGTGCCGGACCTAAAGTCTGACTGGGGTTTTAGAAGGTCCTCGCACCCTAAAATGGTGGTTAYTGTGTCCTTTCCACAYTGCCAATTCGTACTGAAAAAGCCTGCCATTTTCAGGACGTTGATCAACGCATTGATTTCATTCGCTGTGCTTTTGAGCGCCGTGGAGTAAGACTGTGGTCAGCAGATACTCACGTTAAACACACCGGACGTTGTCAACAGTGACGTGGGAGCCAAGTCGAGAATGCGACGACTATTTGAWGACAGAAGATACTTGCTGTTGCCCTCGTTCACTACCAGTCCCATTGGCTCTACTATCCRCTTGCTTGACGGTAAGAATTTAAAAGGTAGTAAAAGTTGAACTCAGGACAACCGCTGATTAGTCTAATTTGTATCAAAAGCTCTTAAGCCGGTAGTTGACTCTTACTACAATGAATTCGAAAGCTGAGAGCGAGAAGATTGTCAAGTCCGGATAAAAATTTTCATATTTTATAGAATTTCATTATCCACTTTGAACTCAAAGTTTATCCCGTCCCGTCAGTTCGAAAAGCTAACTATTTGGTGTGGAGTTTTTTGAAAGCTTTTCATAAAATAATTGGTATATTCTAATTAAATAGAAGAAACTAAGCAAGAAACAGTTTTTCAACAAGTCTTGTTGCAGAATTCACAAAAAATTTAAATTTAAGAACTCTTTTTAGCTGCAGAGCTCGCTAAGTCACTGCAAAAATAACGGTTGTAGAGTCTAAAGCTTTCGTAAGCTTTCAAARCTGTATTTGAAAAACAAACTATAAAAGAATAAAAAAAACCTCGATAGAAGAATTACTTTTTTGCAGCGAGAAAGTGAAAAATATTTACGCTCAAATTCAAGATTATGAGTTATTTACCTTTTGAGTGCTTTTAAGCTCAAATATATACATATAAACTTCTTTGGCTAAATTTAGAAACAATATTAAAATTTATGGCGTTATAATTGAAAATATATTATATAACTATGCATGTATGCATTATATATTTAAATGTACACATGCACACACGCAGCTAAACACATATCTCAGCTACACACATATGTACATATCTCATAAAGCTTTAAAGCTTTGTGCTGCCATTCATAACAGCGTCGACGGCAACAACAAGAATACTCATAACTATAATAAAGATGACGACGTTCGTCATCGTTAAAATTCGTATGCAGTCGTATTAAATTTCTATTATGTGAGCTGCRAAATGTGTATGTAGTTRTGCGTGTGCGAGTGTGTGTGTGTATGTGTGCTGCTGCCACTAATACTTCAAAAATACCTAAGACACTCCACCACAACTCGCTCTCGCCTTAGCATATGCCACTTGTAGACTATATTTATAACGGTAATATGTACCTACAGCATATTAATTGCATGTATGCGTACGAGTGTGTGTGTGTATTTGTGTGTGTAGCTGACATATTGCAACGGCAGGCTGGCATACCATATTGCGTGCGTGAAAGTGGATTTGCGTGTTTGTTTGGCAAAAATGCTGTTTAGCTGTTTTCCAGAATATAATAAAAAGCGTAAATATTGCGTATTACCGTTAACGTTGGAGGGCAGTTGTTGGAAATCATAAAAAGCAAGGGAAAGAGAACAAAAAGTTTGGAATTTTATATGATGAAGGAAGGAATAATGAGTATTGATTTTACAACTCATAGTATTTAACAAATGCTAATTAATAAAGACTAGAAGTATAAAGCTTAAAATGTGACATAAAAAAAGTAAGAAAAAAATATTATTAATGAATAAAATTTAAGATAAATATTTTGAATTTAAAAACAAAAGGAGAAAAGTTCTCTGAGCGCCATTTACTTTGSAGTGGGTAGAAATTATTATTTTACATATGACTCGAAYAGCTYCCCACTTYCGGTCTTAGACCAAGTATGCTCTG